ATATTGCCCACACTGCAGCGCAGCCCAAGCGCAGTCGCTGCTTACTGCGCAGTTAACAGAGCGCGGGCTTATGCGTGCGTTCGGATGCATGTGTATGTATGTATATGTGCGTAAAAGAGGTACAGAGTGATTAGAATATCAGATTGGAGGGTTCAGGGTATCTCCTAGTCGAGCAGTCTCGACTAGAGCCTTCTTACTTGTTTTAACTTTTGCTTTATTTGCAATCTATTTGAATGTAAATATGTAGTATGCAAATTTTGTTGATTTAACTTCAAAAGGATATATTAGGAACTATTAAACGAAATATCAGTTCAGAAATATCCTTTGGACCTTAACTCTAACATTCTACAGTAAAAGCTTAAGCTATAAAAATTATTATTTGTTTAAAGTTATTTCTAAAACAATTTGAAAGGTATTTTAAAAGCTATTTCAAGCTAAGGCCATGCCTGCTCTATTGTTCTTATGAAGTCTTCATGTGCCTGACAATAAGTCGGCTCATTTATCATCTGCCCTCATATTCGTGCAGTCAAAACAAGAATTGAAATCTCTTGTTGTGCAAATTTAAATCTAAATGCTCCCAAATGGCCCGCATCGTTCAAAGTCCAAAGTGCTTACAGGACGAGCCTTCAGCGACATGTGGTAAAAATCTCAATTTGCCATTTAGTGCTTCCATCAGGTGTTCAGAGCTTAACGGGATTACAAGGCCCAAAGCCGAGTGCATTTTCGTCTGCGTCAAAGACAAACAAATGAACAAAGTGGATATTCAACCCGCGCCTCCTTGCAACACTCACTCAATTGCCACCCTTCCGCCTGGCCGTGATGCAGGATGAATGGGTGGCTAGATGGTTGGGTGTTTGGGCGGTTGGGTGGCTGGCTGCTGGGTGGTGGGTGGTGGGCATTACTTACACAACAATTACGCCAAACAATAACCGGAGGGCAGATGAGGCGGTTGCTTCCTTTAGATGGCTGGGCATGGAATTTTTAATTTTAAAGTTAAAATCGGAGTCCGTAAGTGCACTTTACGTAACTCCCGCCCCTAGCAGCCGGAAATGCCAGAGAGCTTAGGCAAATGCCACCGCCGCTGCAGCTGTCGTATTGACAGTTTTGCGGTCAAGGGAGAAGTGTCCCATAAACACTTTCAAATTGATGGGCCCCATCCATCAAGTGGGCATTCAAGTTCAATTCATTTGGCGCCCAATTCCTGGTTGGCATGCAAATTGCGGGCCCTAATTGAACGGCTCTCTATAAATTAATCATTAAATGCGCGTGTAGCTGACATCTTGTGGGCATTGGCAGCTAAGCCCGAGTTGATTAATGGCATTCGGTTCCAGTCGCTAGGAGATGCTCTTAAATCGGCTTAGCTTGCGGGAAATGGCTAAAACAATGCAAACTTTTCATCACAGCCTGGCGCTGCACAAGACACAGAACGGTGTCATTGATAAAACTTGTGGCATGCGCCACATGCCGCCACTCAAGCTGAAGCACGCTCACAGTGGCACTCCATAAGCATCATGTTTATAGACACCCACCCACACGCAACTGTAAATAGCTGCCCCTGGGGGATGTTTAGTGGCGTCTGTCGACCCCAGGCTTTGGGGTTGCGCTCGCTTTGAATTGAATTAAAGCTCTGCGGCTTCAAATTGCCACAATTTATGGCACTTGCCAGCAAGGAAGCTTCTGTCCTTGTCGCTGTCCTTGTCCCGGTGGGGTGGCTATGCGCGAGGGTTGGCACTGGATTCGTACAGACCACATAGCGTGGGAGCTTAGTGTTAATTGTTTGTAATTTGTAATTGAATGTCATTTAATATATATTGTTGTCCGACCTGATTTGCCTTTTGCAGCGCGGATTCTGTCACCTGGAATCCACACAAGCTCATGGGAGCCCTGCTCCAGTGCTCGACTATTCATTTCAAGGAAGATGTAAGTACTGAATTCTTAGATTTGCTTTTATTGGTTTTAGTAATAATAAATCCTTAAGAGAAATTTGAGAACAAATGAATATACTCTGAAACAGGACTCGTATCGAACTATAAACTGATACATGAATTGTTTCTTATTGGAGTTTCAGACTTGACTCGCAAGTTTTAGTTTCTTTATAATAACTATAAGCTTCAAATTCATTTTAAATATTTTTTCCATTGACATGGAGGGGTACTATTTCTCCCTTTTCACTCATACATATTTCAAGCTTGCACATCCTTCGCTTTTGCCTAAGCATTCTTCTGCATATCACAATGTTTGTTGTTTGCCCAAGGAATTCCAATTGTGTTGCGAACAATTCCTTGTTATTTTTCATGCCAAACAACAGACCGACAGCCAGTCAGACATGAGCGGAGGCAGTCGCAGCCCGAAAATTACAATGAACAAGCAAATGTTTGACAACCCTGCTACCGCTGCTGCTGCTGCTCTTGCTCCTGTTTAGTTTGGCTAGAGCCACCCCTCGATTGGGTTTCCTTTTTTATATTCCGTGCAATATGTTGGCATCGGTCACAGTTGCGTCTTTTGGCAGGCGGATTTTAATTAAAATTTGAACTTGACTTATGAGCGAAAAAGAAGAGAGAAGGCGGAAAGACGATAACGAAAATCCATCTGCTTGCAGGGCCTGCTCATCAGCTGCAATCAAATGTCCGCCGAGTATCTGTTCATGACCGACAAGCAGTACGACATCAGCTACGACACTGGCGACAAGGTGATCCAGTGTGGGCGCCACAACGACATTTTCAAGCTCTGGCTGCAATGGCGCGCCAAGGGCACCGAGGGATTCGAGCAGCAGCAGGATCGCTTGATGGAACTGGTTCAGTATCAACTGAAGCGCATTAGGCAGCAGTCCGATCGTTTCCACTTGATTATGGAGCCCGAGTGCGTCAATGTCTCGTTCTGGTATGTGCCCAAGCGTTTGCGAGGTGTGCCTCATGACAGCAAGAAGGAGGTTGAACTGGGCAAGGTAAGATTCCATCTCTCTGCCTAATCATTATAAACTAGTTACCCACATCTTCATTTGCTGCCTTTGCAGATCTGCCCCATTATCAAGGGACGAATGATGCAGAAGGGCACACTTATGGTTGGGTACCAGCCGGACGATCGAAGACCAAACTTCTTCCGGTCAATCATCTCTTCGGCGGCTGTGACCGAGCAGGATGTGGACTTCATGCTTGATGAGATACACCGTTTGGGCGATGACTTGTAAGCGATTCTAGCTTAGAACCTATATTGTCTCCAAAAGATAAATCTAGCTACTGTTGTGTAATCGATGCAACCAAGAAGTATCTTTAAGGTAAAAAGCATATCAAAAAAACGCGAAGAGAATAACGCTCAACTAATCAAAGTTATATGTTACTGTACATTGAATTATAAAGTGTTGCCGAATGTTATGTTTCATTTCGCTTTTCAGTTATTGAATTCTAAGAGCCAACACAGTGTTGGAAAACTATTAAATATGTACTCATAATATAATCAAAGTGTTGCCAATTTGAATGTTATTTTATGTTTCACTTTCACAAAGAAACTTCAAGAGTTTATTGCGACTGTTGCAGATACAAATTATAACAAGTTATTATATCGTAAAGAACTTTAAAAAATATCTCTGTGTACATTTATAATACAATCCAAACACTACACAAAACCACCCGCCACACTCACCACCAAACCAGAAACAAACAAATCAATTTAAAAATCAAGGTTGGAATATTTGAAAGCAAACAAAATAAAACATAAGAGTCTAAGTGTTGTAAAACGATATGATATCTTAACATATCATATAAGAAAAAGGAATCAGTCAGAGCTAAAAGTATTTTGAATTGCAGTTCTCAAATTATATAATTCTGTTGCAACAATATAAAAAGTATATCTATAGTTGATCTTTGGCAAAGTTTATGCTCCAGGCAGTTGTATGTACCTTTACACCATATATCAAAGAGACCTGCGCTTGTTAAATTGTACACACTTAAAACAGCTACACGATCAATTGGGGGAAGCTGAGGGCTTCAAGCACTACGTAAATCTGTAAGAATGGGATCTTGAGTCCAAACTAGTCCAAGTATCGAACTGTGCTATATACATAAATACGTATATACGAATAATTTAGTTGAATCTTAGTTATTGTTCGCGCTTATCGTCGTATAAATACGTCTGATATATATTGGAGATATATTCGGTGTCAATTAAATGCAATTAAATAAACTGTTAAGCAAAGGTGTTGGAACATTATATATGAATTTGAATGATTATGAATTTTAAAAAACTTATGTTCGACTCTGTTAAATTTGGCTAGAAATGAGTTCCGAGAAAAATCAAAATGTAAACACACGTACATAATCTTTACCCGTATACATATATTCACAGATATATAAAAAATATACATTTATGTATTGTAGTTTAATGTGCTGTTTACTAAGTTGAATTGAAGTCAAATTACATACATATAAATTATATGTATATCAGATGAATCGAATAATTTGTATTTCATGTATAAATTGATGTATATGTATTTGAGAACTACAACCAAAGACAACAATTATTCCAGCATCTTAAATATTAAATATATATTATATATACATAAATTATGAATAAATGAGTAAATAAAAAACAAAAGTAACCAAAGAGCAAGAAAGAGAGTTTTTAATTGCCTCTCTGCACGCGCCACCGATTTGAGGGGCTTGTTTGGCTAAGAGCTGATGATAACCGGCCCAACCGGCTTAAGAGCGACCAGAGCAGCATACCTACGATATATAAAGAATGATGTTTGGGAGCAGCTACTCAGTTGTCATCGACACTCTGGCGTTAAGCACACTCTCTGCTGCGGCTATCATTTTAATCAGTTTACTAAGCACACATCTGCTCGGAAACTCTAAATTCTTCAGTTATATAGTTGATACTCGTCTAAAATTTAATAAAATGTCAGTAAGCTTCGTGCCAGTGCCAGCCGGCAGCGATTTTCCCTTGGAAAATTTACCATATGCTGTCTTCTCCACAGAGTCGAATGTGAGTAATTCAAATTGAAGGAAACTTAATTTAAAATTACTATTATTTTATTTTAAGTTATGTTCTAAATGTATATGCGAAAAAACATGTGAGATGTCATATTTAATAACGAATGTCACATGGAATATTATAAAAAAGGCAGTAAAGAAGTTTCTCATGTGCTCGGTCTATCAATTAAGAACAAAGACCGCTTTAGTGCATATCATTTGCATGTTAAATTATATCAAAACTAGTTTGTTTACGAAAACAATCTGAGATTTCCATAGTCATAACAGCTACTGCTATGTATAACACCTGCTTATCTTTGAATATCGTAGCTGAATATCGTATAATTTCTTATGGTCGTATTTGCAGCCCGTCCATCGTCTGTGCGTTGCAATTGGTGATTATGTGCTGGATCTAAAAGCTGTATCGCATTTGTTTGCATCCCCGCTGCAGGTATGTACTTGGCACTGCTTGCTGAACTGCTTGATTGGAATGCTGAGTTTTCTTTAGGCTGCTCTGCAGGCCGAGACGCTGAACTTGTTGATGAGCTTGGGTCACGAAGCGTGGGATGAAGTGAGGACTCAAACCCAAAGACTGTTGTCCAAGGGTTCAGAAGTGGAGCAGAATGTGGACTTAAGGAGCGCGTAGGATATCTAGATAGCTTCGATTCGAGTCGAATTACTAATTAATTTCCTGTTTATTGCTTTTGCTAGAGCTCTTATACCTCAGTCGGAGATTTCACTGCATTTGCCAGCGCAAATTGGTGACTACACTGATTTCTACTCCTCCATTCATCATGCCACCAATGTGGGCATAATGTTCCGGGGTGCAGATAATGCTCTGATGCCCAACTGGCGCCATTTACCAGTGGGTTATCATGGACGCGCCAGCTCGGTTGTTGTGTCGGGAACGCCCATTCGCCGACCATTGGGACAGACGTTGCCCGAGGGCGCTGAAAAGCCCATCTTTGGAGCATGCAAGCTTCTGGATTTCGAGCTGGAAATGGCATTTTTCATAGGCGGCCCTGGCAACCAACTGGGCGAACCCATCAAGGTGGACGATGCCTGGCAGAATGTCTTTGGATTTACGTTGATGAACGATTGGAGTGCTCGTGATATACAGAAGTGGGAGTACGTGCCACTGGGTCCGTTCACGGCCAAGAATTTAGGCACCACCATATCTCCCTGGGTGGTGACGACAGCCGCTCTGAAGCCATTTTTGATCAATAACTTTCCACAGGAACCGGAAGTGCTACCATACCTAAGACAAAGTATTCCCTTTAACTTTGATATCAATCTGGAAGTTTCCCTAAAACGTAAGATCTACAAGGTACTCGAATGATTTAGGTTTGGTTAACCAAATTTCTTAATTCATAGCTGCCAATGACAGCGAGTCGCTGATTAGCAAGTCCAACTTTAAGCACCTGTATTGGACTCCGCTGCAGCAGATCGCTCACCACACGGTCACCGGCTGTAATTTGCGGCCAGGAGATTTAATGGCATCTGGCACGATAAGCGGCGAAACACCCGACTCGTATGGTTCGCTACTGGAGCTGTGTTGGCGTGGCACAAAGACCGTGGACCTTCAAGGCGGCAAAACACGAAAATTCCTGCAGGACTACGATGAGGTCATCATTCGTGGGCACTGTGAGAAAAATGGCCTGCGCATTGGCTTTGGCAGTTGCGCTGGTCAAGTGCTGCCGGCTCACCCAGTGGAACAATAAACATGCTTACACATACATACATGTGTAAATAAATACAAATTTATTTACATATATGTATGTATATAAATAAAGAAATCTGAATCTATAAATCTGTCAGCACACTCCACTTGCAATCAACAAGTGACTGAAACTCTTTGCCTCTGACCACTCTCTCTCTCTCTCTATCACGCTCTCGCTCTTAAGTCGAGCGTTCCCTGAGAGCGCCAAGCGGTGTCTGCGCCTTTCCACGCTGCTTCGTAAATATGCGAATGCTGCCGGCGTCGCCGCCGTCATCGACGGCACTGCTGGCGCCTAAGTCGCAGTCAGTCAGTCAGTCAGTTCTCAGTGAGCGACGGCGAAGACAAAAGTAATTTATAAGCGTCGCGCGCGCAGCAAACAAATGTATAATATTCAATGAAGAAGGGGGAATAAAATTAGAAAAAAAGTTAAATAAGATAATAATATGACACAAAACCCATTGGCGCCGTACGCTATCTAAATGGCTGCACTTCTAGTTTTGTTTTAATAAAAGAACAGTCAAATATTAGAGTAAGCACAACAAATAAAATTTGTGTTAATGCAGTGCGGACATGTCTTGAAAGCCCGTTAAAAGTGTAAGATGAATTCCACCTTATTCTAAATTTTTTTTTTTGTTATCTGAAAGACGGCTTTGTGCTTGACCATTAAAGCCAGTTGTTTTCCAATATTATGTGAATATTTTTCTCAAATTTCGTGTGCGGCAACCACTCGCAATGACTTGGAAAAATCAATTTTGTAGTAGGTCTGCGCACGCACTCACGCACACAGAAACACGCACGCACACACACACAGAAAGCTCAAAGGCACACAAACAACCGAAAACAGACATGCGAACGTCTGAGCTTGGCGCCCACCCACCCTGGTGCACTCGAAACCAGACTCAGGACCCTTTAAAATACCGAACAATCCACTTCTCTGTCGTTTGCCTTCGCTGTTGTTGTTGTTGTTGTTGCTATTGCTGTTGTGCTTGTGCTTGTGCTTGTGCTTGCTTGCATTGATTTTCTGCATACACACATTTCATCCACAAATCGGCGGCAGATGCACAGAGAAGTACACACATACACACAGAGAGAGACATGCACACACACCACATGCTCAGCATGCAAAAAGTTAATCAGTAGAATTCACAGTGCCCCAACAGCCTCAACAACAACAACTGCGAGTAAAAAGATACGCAACAGCAAATGGCTATAAAAAAGTTTGCAATTAACTGGCGCCGTCGGCTGTCATGCTGGAACAGACGCTCGCCCTTGCCCCGCCGGCGCGCCCGCTACTCAACTTATGGAACCTGTTTTGGCGCGCCAGTTGCGCTTCTCGTATGCCTGTGCCCATGCATCGTGCGCATGTGTTCGGGAGAGGGCCGAGTGCCATGTCTGGACTGTGAAGTGGTCTGTTCTGGCTCTCGCTCACGCTCTCTCCTGTCCTCTCTCTCGCTTTCGTTGTGGTGCTCGTGCTCATTGGACGCACGCGCCGGCTGCGGCGGCCACTCTCATTGACGATAACAGGCGAATACAAGGCATAAAGCAAAAAGCTGCACAATTAATTTCCATGTTTATATTTACTTACTCCTTAGGACGTTGAATTGCCAGCAAGTGTGAATCGTGCATGGCGGGGAACATAAATTTCTATGCAAAGAACTTTCTTACATAAATTATATAATGAATTAAGAGTAGACCAATTCGTCCAATCTACTCCAATATTTAGGAGAATTAATTCCAGAATGTGCCACCGTGACACGATTCGCTTCAAATTACTCATCTCTATTTGCTAGGTGATTCTTATCAGCAGCAAGTCATAAATTGAGGGACAATGCTTTCTGTTTCGTTCGTTAAGCTCTGACGGCGTCAATGATAGTCAATTGCTTCCATACGCACACACACATACATGCATAAATATCAAAGAGTTGACTGCATTGCATTCATTGGAAATGTATTATTACTACTAAACATCGTGTGAAGGCTCCGGTCCACTTTGCAAAGTAATTAACCCATTTTAACCCGCCACTGAAGAACCTACATACATACATATGTATGTACATACATAACTCAAAAACGTAATTATACAATAGTTTGAACGCGTGTGCGCCTTGATAGGTGAGCCACACACCAATGTGTATCAGTTCACGCAAAGTATGAAGACATTTTAATACAGTTCAGTCATACGCCTAATTAAAACCAAATGCAAAATTTCCAATTAGCGTCACAGACGCCACTCCAAAGCATAAGGCTTTTCGCAGTATCAATATGTATGTACATACAGCTGCGAAAAATAAAATAGCACCACTTGCATATTCAGAGTTTG